ATTGAGAGGTCGCCTTGAAGGAATCGCAGACAGGCTAACCTGTGCGTTATTCAGAATAACAGGAGTGCTAAAAAACGTTTCGGTTGTTTCAGAGGTTTCGTCATTTCATCCCGGGGGTTTTATTGGGCGTTTCTAAACAAGACCGGAGGCCTACCGGACTAAAGCGGAGAAAAAGGAGTCTAAACGAACACCCGCTGATCTATAAACCAAAAGAAACCAATTGCATCTCCAAATCAAACCAAGAGGCACAGCATTCGCTCCCAAAAGAAAACTCAGCGAGCTGTCATAACTGCTAGCGTTGTTTGCATAAGGTCAGACAAAATAGCTTCCGCATTGACGGGCAAACAAAGAGACATCGATAAAAACAAATGAACAATTGTAGTAAGTATCATGGCTCGAGAAAAAGATTGCTCTGAGGACAAATTATTTGACTGGCTGGATTTATGGACTAAGACCAAGACTAAGTGTTCTTCCCGAGTACTTATGAGCTTTTAACGTACCTGGCTTCCGGCATCGCTAGCCTGCGTGGCAGGCGTTTCCAAAAAAGCACGCGATGGGAACGAAACTGCGATCGAGGGCCCTCCCCCTTCTCGCTCACCTCCGTCTNCCCCAGGCGCGCTCCCCCGCTGGCCCGCTTGCTCGCTGGGCTGCTTGCTCGCTTGCTTGTTCGAACTCTCCGTCTGGGAAAGGAAAGGAAAGGAAACGGCTGCTACGCAAAAGCATCGCTGGTCGGATATTTCCTATTAAAATAGTTATGTCACGATTTGCGCATCTTGAAGAGTTTAGCCTAAATTTTGCAATCCGTGTCAATCTTCTCCATCCTTAACCATCCTTGTTGCTTTCTGGTTTATTATCACCTCTCTGGTGTTATTCTCCCTTAGGTAACTACTATTTTCAGGTTTCTTAGAACTAAAAAGTGATTTTGTGCGGCGTGGCAAAATAACTCAAAACACCCTGACTGAGCTCTTTTAAGGGTTTTGCAAAGATTGATTTCAGGTAAAACAACGTTAATAAGTGAAGGGTTCTAGTCATGGAAATATTATAACGCCCGGTTGGGGAAGAGTCTCCCATATGAAAAGGTCAGGGATGCTCGGCGGAAAATTTGAATCAAACCCCTAAAGCAGACCTATCTGCAGGGCGTGGTTTGAGCTTCATTCGGCCCCTAAAAGATAGCACTTGAAACGGAAATGACAGCGTTTTTTTATTATTTCTTCCAGGGTACCCGAAAAATACTTTGACGGCTTAAATAATAGCGTTTACAAGGTTACTGTGCCCAAGGTGGGCAGCAGGCCAACATTATGTTTTGTCGGATCACAAAAAAAAACAAACAGACAGAATTTGCCCTGGCGCGTTTTCCAGTTCCGGTTTGTCCCAAAGTTGAGAAAAGTTTGAGCGGAAATCGATCATAGGTGTAGTAATACTAGCGCCTGTAGCCAATAATTGGGTTTAAAGATAAATCATATGAAGAAACGTCAAAGATTCTGGGGAGTGTGGCCACATAAAGATAAATAAATTTTATTATTATTCCACTATTACGCCATTTTACCATGTTAGGTCAAGAGAAAGCACAAAATTTGAGCCCGTACGTATTGCACTCTACAGTCGTCAGTATTATATTTTCGTTATTCTCATGCACCTAATGCTATCGGTACGATTTTCGGATGATACAGGATGAAAATGACATAATATTGGAATCAATAATCGAATAAATAATTCGATGGGTTGACAAAATACGTGCGGATCTTTTTACTATTTGCTCGTATTCTTGCTTGCCCCGAAATACTATACAGCTCGCGAAATATCTGCCCTTGTAATCCATCAAAAATTTTCGCTAGCGCGCGATTGGTCTAAATGCGTCACGTGATCGAATATTTCCCAATTTTATCCGAGGATATTCACCAATTTTCAAAACCGCGCGTGTTGCGAAAAATATTTGAATGATAATAAACACAATAGTCTCCATTTGGCGCGAAAATATGCTCGGATATTTGTCCTTGGACATTATATGTTCCTCGGAGCTCACAGTTTGCCCCGAGCTACGCTGCTTCGCTGCTCGGAACAGATAATGTCCGCGGACAAATATTCTAGCATATTTTCGCGCCAAATGGAGCCTATTGTTTTTCTATTTTGTGTTAAACCATCGAGTATATTAGCAGGAAATGTATTAATGTTACTGAGTGTCTCATTGGCCTTACACCATAACAAAGGAATTGCCAAAACTGGATAGCATCAGTATAATAATGAACTTACTTTTTTCTCTTTCATTGACATCTTATTTTGCTCATTAACTCAAACTGTCATTGTGTTTCCAGTTTCTTTCAGAGTAAGTGAGGCTTCTCCCGTCACAGATAATCATGGAACTTTGTTTTACGTTTTTGGATCAAAAGGTGTTTCCATTATAGACCCAGAGCGCAAAACGATTTTGTCGAAAATCACTGAAGCCGATGGCATTTGTACCAAGTCAAACAATCGGTTTTCCAGGTAAAGCTGCATTCCCTTGAAGTAAGAAACATAACTTCTTCCCAGGTTCAAAATTATTTTTATTTTCCTCCTTTTTACGAGCTTATCTCGAGGTAGGGCATCCATTTTTCTTGCTTGAAGCTCCTAAAAAAATCCTGATGTTTGATATGGGGATTTCATGTTATTTCCGATGGTATTTGTTTGAAGTCA